CACCCCCCCCCCCCCCAAAAAAAAAACAACAAAAACACAAAAACCCTAACGTTGCGGGGGGGGGAGTCCCAGTCCCAGTCCCAGTCCCAGTCCCAGTCCCAGTCCCAGTCCCAGTGGCAACCAGCAAAACCCAGAATCATGAGACATACCCACAAGAGAGCATATAGGCATTGTTGCTCTTAGATCATCCCTGAGCAATACCTGTTCACCTTCTCTTGAGCGCCCCAGTGATGGAGAGTCCACAGCTTCCCTAGGCCTCTGTTCCACTACTGCACTGATCTAACAGGGAATTACATTTTTCCTGATATTCAACCTAAACCTATTTTGCTGCAGCTTCAAGCCATTGGTCTGCATCTTGTTCTCCGCAGCAACAAAAGGTGTTGCAGCGACACTGATTCAGGATTTGAAACATCACATGTGAGCCTTGTGGCTCCACTTAGCTTCCTTCAGTGAGAAATTGTCTCCTCAGGGTTGAGAACCCTTCATTGGGTACAAGACCAGCAGAGGGGAGTGCCATCCAAGAAAGTTTCCTGTTTTCAGAGCTTTCTAAAACATTGTGTTGCACTGTCTGTGTAACCCATTTTCAGAGCTGGCATATAGAGGATGTTGAGAGGACAGAAACAACAAACATAATTCTTGCATTTCCATTTTGGGTATCATTTGGAGCTGGTGGGCAGCTGGAGTGAAGTCTTTTGTCCATGGAAGTGTTCCAGTGCAGATCGTGATGGCATAGGGGTCTTCTGGCAGTGTGACTTGGCCCTGGTTTAGGGGTTGATCCTACATTAATTGCAGTCAGAGGCAAATTCTTGTTGGCTTCAGTGTGTGCAAGATCAAATGCTGTCCTACCAAGTGGTCTGGTCTGCCTGTTCCGTATATTCATCTTCATGGAGAGTATCAGTAGGAGAAGACACTTGTGACAGTGACTTGGTGGGCAGTAGCTCCTTTCATATAGCAAAGCTGTCCATTACTAAAGGCAGTGACTTCTGACCTGGACTGGATTCAGACTTGTGCTGTAGGGCTTTACTGAAGATAAAGCTTTAAGTTGCTGTGTTTGCTCTTATCTGTCATACTTCCTTGTCATCCCATTTTTTCAGTCAAATAAATGAAATGTTACTGGCTATAATAGCATGCAAAGTGCATCGTTCTAGATGTTACTTCTTGCTTACTGTATTCTTCTCTTGCATAATTTTTACATTGCTTTTTTGAAAGATGTGTAAATATAGCACATGGTAAACAAGAGCATGAAACTCATTGATCCAGACTTCTTGGAAAATGATTCATCATCTTGTAGAACAGAATAGATTGGACGTATTTAACAGTTCAGATTGAATTCCAAATGGAGAAGTATTTGTCACCTCTAGCTTTATCCATGAAACCACTGCTGATTTTCTTATGTGGTTTAAGTCCCCCAAGTTTTAGAAAGAGAGAGTCCCTGAAGGAAACACTTTATTCTGTTTACAAAAGTGTGATCTAGAGTGGAAATGCTTATTGTTCCCCTCTAGCTACAGGGCAAAAAGGCTTTTTCACACAGTGAGTAATTAGGCTGCAGCTTCATGGCCTCAGATATATCTAGTGGCAATGAATGTAGCAAAATTCACAATAGGAATAGACATCTGGATTGTTATCAAGGGGATCCAGGTTCATTACATCCAATGTAACAGATTTTCCAAGAGATGCAACACCTTCTATGCAGCAGGTTTTAAGCACATCCCTAACCAATACGTGTTGAAATGAGATGACGGGTGGGAGCCAGGACAGGTCAGTGTATATTTCCTGCTGCCAAATTTTTTGTTGCATCTTCAGTCAAAACATCTGCTATCCATTTCTGACTGCTGGGTTCCCAGACTGAATAGACTGCCTGATCCAGTGTGGTCATCCCTGTTTCCCCCAAAACCTTGATCTTGGTTTTCAAATGCATCTCAAAAAATTAATTCAGTTTTAATCTACCTTCCTAGGGATGTTGGAACAATTTTAAAATGGAGCTGTGAACCACGCTAATGTTGCATGTCTCTTATCTTTTCTCTTCTGCTCTGCCTCCCTCTCCCTTCTACCCGCCAGGTGGAAAGTAAAGGAGAAGGTGAAATGGAGGAAGGTGAAAAAGTTCAGGAAGGAGAAAATGAGAGAAATCCAGAAAAGGAGCAAGACAGTGAAGTGACTGCTGATGTCAAGCCAGGTAATAGATAGCGGCTGTTACTCAACTGCATGTTACCTTTAATAGCCTTTCTCCAAAGATGTAGGAAGAGACTATAAACTTAATTGTGGCAGAAATATTTCCTCTCGCACATCAGGCCTGCTGCTTGGTTCGGCAGTAAATATTCCATTTTAATTTCACTGCAGAGCTCTAGCACTAAATTCTTTCATGAAAGCAATTTAGACTTCCGTTGGAGCCTTTTTTCATATTGTCAGTAAATGAGTAGGTGAATAAATTGCTGTACTAAAGTGGGCACATGCAGCATAAAGGAGTTCCCCCTGATTGCCGTGCCACTTGTCTCTTCCACATGCAAAGGGGCAGACAGTCGGAGTTGCTTTTATGCTCAGAAGCTATCGTGCTTGCTCAGTTTCCATATGTGGCTATGCAAGTCATTTGACCAGTTGGGGATACTCCAGTTTCTGAGTATTTTATCTTACACATTTTAAAATACTTCAGTCCTCTTTTATGAACATTCTCTCATGCTACATAGGTCTGACCCATCTCTTCTGGCAGATTTGCCATGTCTAGGGTTTTAGGAACAGGTAGAACAAGACATTAGTCTCAGTTTGCATCTCCTAAATGAAGGTGGTGATGAGATGCTGGGAACGCAACTTAAGATTAGTTTGTTGCAAGACTGGATCAAAGATGGAGAGAAATGAACTGGGTAGAGAAGGCAGGGACTTCGGAGTGCCACCCTTGGCTGTTCAGGGAAGGGGTAGGCGGGGATCTCTGGTGTGCGTAGTTGTGGAATTAAAATAGCTTTTGTGAAAACACTTGAAGTAGAGGCGGAACAGTGTGAAACACCCTAGTGGGAACATTGTAATATGCTGATGTATGGATTTAGGCTGTGTGAGCACAGATCTGCATGCTATGTAACCCTACCCCTGGTGTGATAGTCATTAACACTGAAGTACATATGTATCAAGTTATTTTTGGCGTTTCTTTAGAAGAGAAGGAAGCAGAGGAGAACAAGGAAAACGTTGATGCAGGCAAAGACAAGGAGAGTGATACTGGGAAGAAGAAAGTGGAACACGAGATCTCTGAAGGAAATGTAGCAACGGCTGCAGCTGCAGCTCTTGCCTCAGCTGCCACCAAAGCAAAGGTTTGTTGTGTACAAATTTCTGTAGCCACTGACTTCCAGTTTTAATTGGGGGCGCTCGAAAAATGGTCCATTGTTCCAAGTCACAGGGACTTGAAGTTCTACTCTGTCGTTCTTTACGTACAGTGTGTGCGCTTTCACATCCGCTCTTGGACCTCTTACCAAATGAAATTGTTTCCTTGTGATTAGGTTAAGGTTACAATTATAAATGTACTGAAGTCAGTGAACGTTCCTGAGAAAATCCAT